GGACGGGCCCTGAGCAGTTAAGTGTCGTTGCGTTTCAGTGTCCAGAAGAGTTCATCAGGGAACTTACCAATAAGTCTGAAAACCATCCATGTATTCATGTGAACCTTAAGTCACAAAAATAAATACGGAATATCTGCATACAGTAAATACGCAAATTAATCTATAAGTACTCCGTGCATTTATTTACGTTGAAAATGTTTTTAATAGCTTGTTTTTTTCTGATGAATGTTACCATAATGGTTTTTTCATTGTCATTTACTGTTAAAGCTTTAAAGCTGTTGTGTCTTTAAGTTTCTTTAATCGCTTTCAAGTCTGTATTTCAACTAAATTACAAGTGTTCGTATAAATTTTCTTTTTCACTGACATAATTACATGTACATTGTACTTGTTGTATGTTATCATGTTTATTTTCAATATTTTCTCAAAAATGTTAGTAATCTAGCATGTAAAACTAATTATGTTCTTGAAATAATTTGTATAGGCCTACATGTAGTTTAATTAAAACTGGCATTTATAAAAAACGAATTATATGACGACTTTATATTCATCTGGCGACTTTGCATGCTTTTCATTGACGACCTTAAATAAAGGTGTATGTATAGTCGTCAGGTGTCCTCCTTTGCTATTTATAATCACTTCTCCGGACTATCTCTGAAGTTTTCGATACAGGTTAAGGGTTTTCTACAAGAAAAATGCCTCTTGAGGGCTTTACAGATGAATAATCACGAATCCGGGGATGTACGTAGCTTACGGAATCGGCTGAACACGCTGAACTGACGACTTTATATTAAAGTACGTTACAACATATCATAATTATTCAAGCCAACGAACGCAGGAACAATTAAGCCAAGCAATAACGATTCAGTTCAATAAAATCCACTAGTGAAAATAAATCATGTATCGCTTCCTAGCAGAACTGAATTTATTAGGGAAATTTACCATTGGACAAAATGGCATTGCTAACACAGAATAAACAGATTTGGAAACACTCAAATGAAGTTAAAGTCAATCAATAAATCGATCGATCAATCAATCAATCAATCAATCAATCAATCAATCAATCAATCAAGTCAGTCAATCAATCAATCAATCAACCAGTCAATCAATCAGCAAGTCAGTCAGTCAGTTAGAAAGCAAACAACTTGCTATCTTAATACGTCGACTCTGCTTATAACGAACTCAATGGGACATTTAAATATCGTTCGTTATATCCGAAGTTCACTAAAAGCGAAGTAGCAACAACTTTCGCTGACTTGTTTGGTTTGGCAAATTTGCCGTGAAAAAGCCATACCTGTCACCGGTCATCGGTGTGATTCGTATTTTACAACAGCAGTTATTATATTCACTTACAAATAGTTTATGCCTAATATTTAAAAACAACATACGGTATACAAACATGTTATTTCGCTTGTTAAAACATAGTTAACATTAACGACTAGTCCCAGTCTCCTTTGTTTTTTCTCCATCGTATGTTGTCATGCAAATGCACTTGTTACTTCATACTTATCATTTAATAAACGTTTGTTCTCTTTAACTCACAATATTTTCATCCTAAACAGATTAGGTGCATAACACGACCCCCTTAACACACACACATGCATACAGACAACATACACACACGCTATTGAACCATTTTAGGGACTCCACTGAGGGTTTTTGACAAGACGAGACTGAAAATATTTTTTTTCGAGATGAAAGTCCAATTAAATGGAGTTTAAAATGTTAACGAATAATTATGAAAAATGCTAGTAGAGTTCAGACTGTAAAAAAATGTCATCAAAATTGTAATACAATAATGAACTAGCTGTTCCTGGCAATTTATAACTGTTCGTAGTTTTTAGTCGTTTCACAAGACTCATCAGAAATAGAAAATATCATGTTTGATAATTATTTGAATATGTAAACATTTTATCTCTCAGTTGAACCATTTTGTGCTTGACACTTGATGTCGGGCAATTTGCTATGGGTTCTGTTTACAGTTGATCGTCCATGAATGATATTAATTTGAGCTCAACTTTTTAAACAGCTGAAATGTTTCTAATGAATTGTTCAGACGCCTTGTAGATGTGATGTTGAGCGGCGTTGCAAAGCTTCGAAGAAGACGTTATATCTAGACGTCTTTTGTTATAATGACCCGTTACATTTGTTGGTTATCAAGATTGTTTTAAAGTGATTTTATTAAATAAAGATAATACCATTCTGCGTGAAGTGACAGGATTAATGATGAAACATCTGTTTCGATTGGATTTAACGTCGCATCACCAGAGTAGATGTCATATGACGACTTTCCAGCTTTACTGGTGGAGGAAGACTTTAAGTTCCCCTCTGTACATTCTTTATAGCACAACTGGCAACCTTAGTAGAACCACCGATGTTCCGTAAGCTATCTGGAAAGCATTCTCATATGAATAATCCGAGTACGCTCGCGCGATTCGAGCCTACAGATGTTAGAGGCAAAATGTTTGAAACCAACGACTTTAACCAGTCGGCCACGGACGCCCCTGTCAACAAATATAAACCAACATATCAAAGAGGATAGAAGTTGTTGGAGGAAAAGGGGATGGTTTGCTTTTGAAGACAATGAAAATATCATCAATGGCCAGCCATTTCAGATAAGAAAATCACCCGACCAAATTTTGATATTTTTAATTATCCAAAAATTCAGAGTCAACGTCCATTTTAGGTTATAGCTTTTTTTAAGGCATTCATCTAAAACTGTATATGTGCTCAAATATTAATTGATATAGTTAACAAGTTCTACGAACTGAGATTATGAGAATAAACTGTGCTTATGATTCTGATATAGATAATGTATGTACTGTAGTTCTAACATATAAGATAACGTTAGTATTCGTTCGTAGAAAAAATACGCTTTTCAGGACATTTCTCTCGAAATGAATGTGTTACGTTTTTTTTAAATACGACACTGGCACGATTTATTCATACTGTTATATTCACTAATCTAAATACGACTCATGCTATTTACATAAGTAAATTTTCGTTAGTTGGGTGGGTAATTGAATAGTCATGCATACTGGATATACAAGTGAATTTTTTTTTTGCAAAATGTCAAACTAATGCACAGATACCTGACCTGTCGCTATTGCCAAAGTGACCTTAAAACCAATATATTCTTAATGACAAATTCCTTCTGCATCATAACAGGATTCAATTTCATTAACCTTTAATTTTTTCTCCCCCTTCCCAGTCTGAGTTTCTTAGTTCGGGCGTGGTGTCATGTTATTGTTGTGGTATCCCCGCCGATTTGCTGTTTCAGGTCTTTGTCTAATTTCTGTCCGGAGGGTGGTCGTCTCTACCATGATATTAATCAGGTTTGCGTTTCGTGAACGGCGTTCTTTTTTCTTGATCTTTGTATTCAAAATATTGAAGCAACTTTACCATTGATTTAAACTATAATGACTAAATGTTATACATGTTATAAGTCTGATGTTCATGGTTTCGTATTTGTGATGAATATATTAAGTTTTAACGAGATCTTTGTAATACAAACTCTACTTGAACATTGGAATATAATGTTAACACTGCATATGAATAAAAAACCCATTTTTTTATTATTACCAAAGTAAGATTCCTCTTCTTGTGGGTTATGACATTATTTTAGTCAAGTTTAGAAAGGGACAAGGAAATAAAATGCTTTAATTACAATAAACCTGAATATATGTAAGTGAAATTATTTCCGAAGATCTGTAAGTGTTTATGGTATAATTTTAAAGATTCTACATGGTTATTTGTAATCAATAAAATACTTGCATTTTCAGTTTGTTGTATATTTGTTACACCCTTGGAAACTTTCTGTGTACAGGGCCATATCAAATGGCCTTTTCCGAGCAAAACACAAACAATGACATTAAAAAAATGTAAATCAAAAAACTAAAGCATAAAACATTTATCATTGAAAAGGTTAGGCAACTATTGTAGATGAAATAAATAGGCTACGGTCCTTATTGATTGATTGCTCTTTTGAATTCAACTATAACACATAATCATCACAAATAATTTTAACTATAAATATTTTATTTTTGCCGAGTAAAATACAATGAAATAAAGAAAAACGAAATAATCCATAAAAACGGTTGGATTGAGCTTGCTTATTTGTGGCAGTTGAAAGTGAACGCTACTGTCCTAGGACTGCATGCCCTAGCACCGGCCTAAGCACATTGCAACATTTTAGACAACAAAATCGCGAAACTTTGATTTTTAGAAAACATCAGATGGCGGTAAAGTGAAGTCATTATATAAATAACACATATAATAAGTCTTGCGAGTAACTTTAAAACACTACACCGGGGAAAATACCCGAGACGTATTGTTTTCAATTTTAACCGCCTCCGTGGTCGACGGGTAAGAGTCGATGACTTCTTATCCAGTTACCTCTCTGGCGTGGGTTCGATCCCCTGGAGATGCTTTTGTAGTTTAGCGCGGGGGGAGGTAGTCCAGTACTGGTGTAACTCTCCAGGAACGATGGTTAGGAAGCTACCCGCCTATATGGCTGAACTACTGTTGGTAAAAGCCGTAAAACGAAACAAACAAACAAGGAAATTTTCAATTTTCTTCAAATTTCCAGCCTTTTTTGTTGTTGATTCTTCAAAGGGAGATTTTTGTTCATATGATATTTTCTTTTACTTTCCTTGGGAATTATTTCCCTTTAATTGCTTACTTGATATACAACGCCAGATTTGTAAATAACATGAGAACATCGTCAAATGTTAGACATTTGTTTCAAAACAATCTGGACGCATCGTCAGATCATTGTCAACTTTGTTTGACAAAAAATACGCAAATAGGAACTTGAATCTGTTCTTTGTTTTATTTAGAGCTTTCATATACGTTTATTTAGCAGATGAATGAAGATAAAATTGATGATGTACATTAAATTGTGAAATTAATGACCGATCTATCAAAAATGTCGAAGGCAGATAACACAAAATGGAAATACAATGAAGGATGAAAATATAATGTTGTATAATATATATTTTTTTTTGCACATTCAACATACAAATTTCATTAACATGTTACAAAAAAGCATTTTGATGACGTCAACAACAATGTAATGCATACATTACGGGTATATTCGTATACATATATGTCTTTAAATCTTAATCTATATTCATAATCTTTCAAGAGTCGAACAATTTTTGTCATGTTCATTTATTTAGATTTCTTTTCATATATTTTACAACCCAATCGTAAACATTAAGTAAACTTGAAATTATAGGAGCAACCCTGTTTTGTTTACATATTATAAAGATTATAAGAAAGAATGTTCATTTATCTGATACTAACACAATAATCGTACTGTTTGTATGAGCACACGTATCTTGATAATTTAATGGTTGAAAATAAAAAAAAAAAACAATAAAATTTAAGGCTATATTTTTACTATATTCGCAAACTATAGGATGTTGTGTTTCCACTTACCGAGTCTGCAATTTCCGTTTAATGTTGTTGTGTTTGATGCTTCCGAGGTATCACGCTTTGTCCAGATTTTTTTTCCTCGCAAAAGATCAAAGATTATTTTCTACTTATTTCATATTATTCGGCAAGACGTTTGTGACCAAAGCTATTATGTAGCCATTGTATATAAGACTCTTTAAAACTGTAAATACCCAAAACTCTCTACTTTATTTTAATTCATTTTTTTATTTGTAAAATATTTGCTCTTTTGTTAAATGTGTTGACCATATAGCTGTATATATTGATCTACCCTCTTGTGTACAATATCAATTATTTTAGTACCATTGTACGCTTCTCTTCACTTAAACATTCATTTTCATAAGTGATATCAAAGATGACTGACAAGAAGTCCTCAAAACTTTGGAAAACACAACCGATAAACACATTTACACAATTACATTAATTCAATCAAATACTATAATTTTCTAATTGTATAATCAAATGACTATAAAGTCCACTACAACAAAATAATAAATGCTTCGCACGGTATATTTATCACAAAATATTATAATGCGATTATGACAGTTTTTTGATCAGGAGCATGTATTTGACTAGAACTGATTTTAATAAGATTGGATCTCACGTGGTAAGGTAGCGCCAAGTGTGATATATTTCAGTCAAAGCCAAAAGAGCCATAAACAAGTAATAGACCAAGATACTACTATAATAATCCTTCAATTCCATACCTTGCTTAAACTTGATATTACATTCAACCATAACGTTATTAAAGTAATCTCGATTACACATATACATAAATATAGATATAGCTTGTTGTTATATTAAGAAAATTTGTATCAACAACATCAATGACAACAACAACGACACAAATATCAACAACAAGAAAACCCCAATATTTATAGGCATGCAATTTACACATAAAGCTGTGAAGATTATAATATTTTTCTGTGTGGCCTATGATGTGTTTTTAATTTAGAATTTTGTATAATTTCTTTTTTCTTATTATCAAAGCATCGAAATCAATTTATTATATGCCCTGATAAATATATATTTGATCTTTCAATTTTGAATGAGTTTAATTTCCTTTTTAATATCAAACTATCAAATAATTTTTTATGATTATTTGTTGGTTTCTTGCAATAAGAAACTCTCGTGCATACATTAAATTACATCTCTTGATCCATTACACTGACTTAATAATCACACAGACTCAATTATATGTCCTGTATGCAAGGATTGTGCGTATGTATTTTTTTTTATAAAATGTACTTGTTATAAGCATTTTGTTATGTATTATGCAATTTGTACTGTTCGTTTAAAAAACCAGAGAAAAAACCAGTAGTTTAATGGAAAGTTTCAAGTCGGTGCTAGTTGTAAAAGAGATATGAAACAACCCAAGACTGATTTTCAGCTTGTTTATTTTCATAACTCCCTCTCGAGACCTATCTTTATCAGAATTCTGATGAAATCATGGCATTTTGTAGAGAAAGATCTCGGGTACCCTTCCGTGTATAATTTCAGGCACGATTGAGCACCCGAATCCAAAATATCTTGATGGAATCGAACTGTGAGTTGCAAATGATTTTCTGTTTAATCACCTTTACCACTGGTTCACTGAGCATTGTATCAGGTACATAAAGCACATATTCCTTAAATATTACGTTTTATAATGTTTTGTATGAAATCATTAAGCCTGACGTAATAATGGATTTTACATGAAAATCTGTATTCCACATGCGTGAAATCAAACAATATGATAGTAAAAACGGTATTCCCAAAGAACGCTCCAACGACAAAATTGAAAAGATGCTGACTCGGTTTGATTCCGCTTTTTCATGGACGGCACTGGAAAGTACTATCCAAGCCCATAGCGCTGGCTTCAGCAGAATTCAGCATTAAGACAAGAAAAATGGTGACAAAAAAGCATTTTGAATTAAGAAACATCCGCAAATGTGTTCATACAACAACCATACAACAACCATAAATATGTTGAAATTTCAGTCATTTCTTCTTAGCTTCATAACAGTTATCTTAAGTGAGTAGTATTGACCCCAACATCCGGCCCAAATTATACCGTTTCCGTATTCTTTGTGTGCCCCGTTCAAGTACAATCCATTTAGACTCGCCTTGTGACATGCGTTGTACCACCAAGCTCCTTTATATGCTACTGCACAGTTGTCGTCCCTGGCGTCGTTATCACTATCTTTGGTTGTAAATTGACAACCATTATGAAACCACATGGAATCGGCGCACGAGCCTTTATAGCCGCCAACTGTCAATCTGTAATTATCATTCTTATCATTAACTCTGAAGATGGAGAATTCTGCAAAAGCAGAAAACGGATTCATATTATCATTCTGAAATGTTTCCATGTATATATAAAGTGAATTGTTGTTTTTTGTTAAATAGTAAATGTTTTCAAGTCCCAGCCAATACTCGCCAACTCTGTTGCCAAATCCATTTTTATATTCTTCCAATCCTCTGTAAAAATCTTCTGATCCATCTTGTCGGCGTTGTATTACCGTCCATCCACCATTTGACATGTCACACCAAACATTTGTAGCAGATGTATTTTCCGCTGGTTTAATCACATACACACCGTCCTCGGCGTAACCTTGGTGATGAAGCGCAAGACAGTCAATTGGCTCTGGTTGCTTGTGTATTCGTGTCACTGTTTGATTGCCCTCCTGTTAAAAATAAAGTAAGTCCGAGCAGTTGGAATTCCACTTATAGCAATATATTGAATCGACAAATATATTATGTGTTTTAACATAAGGTCACTGAGAACAATTATATCAATTTAACCCTTTTTCTGCTAAATACCATAAAAGACTTTTCCCCTCTTACAGTCTGAACAAAACCATAAACAAAGATATTCAAAATTTACAATTGATACATTTTTGTAGTTGTATAAAATCACTGATAAAAAGTGGCAGATATATTGCATACAATGAACTGTTAAACATGCTTTTGCACAGAGAAAACTTAAATATTTTCGGTAAGATTTTACCCATTTACAGAGACCCTTCGGACGATTTCAAAGCAACATTTTAACTTCATCTCTCACAATGTTCGTACTTTCGTTATTTTAGTAATTTGTGATCATAGCATTAAAATATCCAACACAGATAATATAATTTATGATTTTTGGTATAATATGGACAACTGTATTTCAATCAATTGCTTATTAATAGTCACTAATAACTTCAAACACATCAATATTAATGTTTACTCGTTCAATTGTTTAAAATATAAAAAAAGTGTAAATGATCTTTTTCTTAAAATCTCGATACTTTTTATAGTTATTGACAGAAAACTATCTCGTGGTATTGAATATATTGAATAAATGTTAACAAAGCAAAGTCAATAAATGCAAACAATCTTAGACAATGAATAAAGAATGACTACTACTTCTTACTGTAATGTATGATTTTGTCTCTTTTTCTTTTCTTATTCCATAGATTATATCTGCGCCCACATCCTCAATGCTTACTGTATCATTTTCAACCGATGCACAAAGACATGTTGAATTATGTGCAATAAAATAAAACGATGACCAGTCCAAGTTTTGACACTTGAAAGTGCATGACATCAAAGACTTTTCTTGTATTGCAATAACAAATGCACCCAACTGCGGAGCGTTAGTTGTTTTTTCCAACTCGTATGTCGATATTACTCTTTCATTTGCAAAAATTTGTACAATTGAAAGAGCTTGAATTATAGCAAGAAACGTTAACATTGATTTTGCTTTAAAAGAAACAAATTCCATTTCTTTCCAAGTTAAACCACGACAAGTCATTTGAACATTCGCTTTAGATCTAAACGGGCTAGTTCAATTACAGTTAATTAACAATAAGAGTCAGTTGTATAACATCACGTTTTGTTGTTATGAATATCTCAGACCAGATATGTATCAATTCCATCAATGCATTGTTTTTTTTCTTATTTATGTAATAATGTTACTTGGTCACTTGGGAAATAAATGAAATGATTTAAAAGAGAGAACTGAATGTGTTATCGATGTATTGTCAAAATTTTCCGCCATGAACGCTTGGTTACTTTATACCTTGTCAATTAATATTAACAACTTTAAAATGATTGAATAAATCAATCTCGTTAGTAAAGTGTTTTCAATGCCTGTTCAGATTATTCAATGGTTTGGAACTTTTGATATTGAATAAAATATGAGTAACTACTCTGTTTATTTCTTTTTTTTTGTTATGTTAATTATTGCAAAAAATCAACTGGAACATTTTAAAGATGAGATAGCTGTTGATTTCATAATCAAACAAAGACTACATACAAACATGATAATTGTATCCATGTATATTGTCGGTTTTACAGGTTAAAAAACATTTGCCATTTTAATACAAATGTGCTATTGTTTAGATCGGTGATAGCTGCTGTCCTCAACAATATAAATAATTAATTCACTAATAAAATCACAATGAACAGCACATACAAAATATTAATTTTACTTTGTTTAAGCAAACCTTATACATGCAAAATCCTTTATGTCGGTCAAAAGCTATTCGTTATATAAATTATATATAATAAATTGCACATCTAAAACTTTAGATAGATTTAATTATTGTATTACATTGTATTGTGCTATACCTCTGTTGTTATTTAAAAATGGATCTTAGATAGAAAAATAGAAAAGATAATTTATGCTTGCTTGTTTCATGTAACTATCCCCCCAATAAACGAAATGTTTGTGTGATCGTTGCAAAAAATGGCCAGCTCTTCTATATAAGACCGTTAACTGTGTCATTTTTTTTAAACTTTATTTTCTTTTACACAAAGAATCCAAACATGTTCTGATAATAGTTATACATCTTGTTCATTTGAGACAAAGGAACAAAATTTAATGGTATTGGTCGTGTCGGTATTAAGTGGAGTTTATATGTATAATTCAAGTCAAAAACTACTGGTACATTGGCCAATTTAGTATTAATATATTCATAAGCGGACAGTCATCATGTTAATGTATATTTTTTAAAACTCTGAGCAAGTCGATCGCTGAAATTTCATTAAACTTCGGTATATAATATGATCTCTTTTTTAGTTAGAGTACTAAATATCTTAATTTAATCGTCGTTGCATACAGTGATTCAAATTTGTCGTGCTGTAGTAAAAGTGTACTAATGAAAAATAGCAAACTCTTTGCATTATATAGTCACGTTATTTTTTGATGAATTGACCGTCAAGCACAATTCGTGTTGTATTTATCTCGGTCAGACTATATTCTCCCTAAAATACCGGCAGCAATTTGTATTACTATAATAACTGTTAATATTTTCAGAGATGTTATAATTCCGACCTTTGAATATCGTCCAACAGATTCTCTGTGTGCGGGATTTTTTAGTTCTTTAATTGTGAACAATTGTAAAGGAAAATGTATAAATATTGTATATCCATCCATAAGAGTTTTAAATTACAGCTGTTCGTTGCTGATTTATCAATTCTTGAACAATTACCTTTACAGCGTTTCTTTTAATTTAAACTCAACAAAATAAACAAAAAGGAATTTACAAAATTATAATAATACTCAGACGAGGTAAAAAATGCCTTTACTTGCACAGGTTATTCCGGAGTTTTGTCTCCGCATTTAATTTTTAGAACTAGAAAACAATGCAAGATATGTTTCTAAACGAAACTCTCGTGTATTCACTGACGTATTTATGTACCCATTAATTTATGCTTTATTAAAGTGACATTATGCCCATCAAAGGGTATATAGTGAGTGAACAGGTGAATATTAAAATAAGTTTTCATTTTGCCATAATACCTTTTAATTTAATAATTTATGCAAATATATAAGGAAATTTTGAATTTTATATCAATTTAACACATCGATAATCATATATCAAGAACACTCGATATAATCTTATAAGAGTTCCAAAAAAAGTGCAGGAATTTTTTTGTTTGGTGTCTTTCAGTATGTACATGACTTTCCGGGATCGTGAGCGTTATTTGTAGTCTCGTTATTTTGGACAAAAAATGATAAGTTATTATAATATTTTATAATTCAGTAAATTCTTTTATCACATAAACCGCGGCACAGGAGTGAAATAAAGCAATTTAATGAAAACGATATTACACTAGACTATATTACTTGTGTTATAACACTTTGAAGTCACGTCATTTGCGCTACAGTATACACATAGCGTTAAAGCGCGCTAATATTAGTGTTACATTACAGGCGCGTCAAAGAAAAATGAATCTTGTTAACAGTTTACCGTTCTTATTTATATATGTGATAAACAGAAAATTATATTCGTGTAGATTCAATACTAAATTTATTGAAGTCGTTGAATAAAACAATATTATGCTCGCCAGAGGCTCGCATAATATGATTTTATTCAACTCGTTCAATAAATTTAGTATGAAACTTACATTCATTCAATATCCTCTATATGTTGAATAAGCAATTCTCTAGAGAATATATGGAATTTTAAGAGAACTGTAAGATGTTTAATTGGAGGAAGTACGGTTCCCAAATATCCGAGAAACTTGAGCTAGAATGTCTGTTTCCGTTTCTCCTTTTGATTGTTGATAATCTGGAAGTTTAATAGTTTCGGAACGAACCTTTATATTAATACTGTTATTCTAGAATGACCAATAAGATTTCCTGATTTCAGTTTGTAATGTTTTAAAAGGACCAATAATCGTCACACCTATATTCACTTCTTCCCTGTTATTTTACAGAAAGAAAATTTTTCTCAGACGACATTCTTCCTTAACAAAAGGATCAATCTCGATAACGTTTGTTTCTTTATGGAAACTATATGAGTAAATCTAAGCTGTCATCGAAAATAATGGAGCATAAATCTTGTCAACTATTCTGAACCCAATTCCTTCTTATAAATCAAATCCTTAATAGGCAACCAAGTATTGGGTAACCAAGGAACGTGTAATGAACGATTCTTTTCAATAATGGCAATGTTGGGATATTAAGCACAAACATGGTTAACGCGGATTGATGGCCTATTGGTTAAGGTGTCTGCCTCTCAACCCACAAGTCATGGGTTCGAGCGCTACTCGTGTCACGACCGTGTTTCTTTATATGACACCAGTATTGGCTAGTTCCAGGAAGCGGACTCGAAAGTGGTTAATATAAGTTGCAAGAACTTGTTTAGCAATCGCGCTTAAATAACTATATTTAAACCAAAAATGAAGACATTTCGCTCAGATAAAAAAGGTTGTTCGAGGCAGAGTCTCTCGTGAAAACTGTTAATGAGGTAACGCGAAGCTGATGATAACTCATAGGAAATGTCTAAATCATAGTTAATCTAATTTTATATGACAGTTGTAAATCAGTACATGGCTCAGGTATACCGGAATTCAAACGCAGCTATGTATTAGTTGCGTGTTAATCCACGAAACATAAAAGAAACCAACCATTCGGTAGACAAGGTTAATCTATTAAATTATAATTTTGTTTGTGGTATTGTTTTTGTTTTGTTTGTTTTTTACAAAGGATTTGTACTTTTCGGCGACTTTCCTAGATTTAGCCGGTGTATGTTTCGGCCTTGGTGGATTTCGTACGTTTCTACGTCTGTGAGAAGACACTTTTAAATAACTGTTACAGCCAATGGTGAATTTATTGTTGTCACTTATTAAAAATCGCTTTAATATATGATTTTGAATTGATCCATACAGCACACCGTACAATAAGCGATTACAAAACTGACATATAATGGTTATTATAAGGTGCCTTCTTACAGACGTAATTACTATTGCAGTCACATGCAGTTACCAAATACGCATTTAATCATTGTTTGTTGGTTTGTTTAATTGGGTTTTACACAATACAGGCCCACACAATATAGGTCATTTGGCGACATTTCAGTTTTACTGGTGGAGGACGACCTTAGATGCCCTTCCGTGCAATATATCAGGCACGAACGGGTACTTGAGTAGAACCACCGACGTTCCGTTAGCTAGCTGGATAGCTTCCTTACATGTAAGAATCCAAAGACCCTGTCGGATTCGAACCCACAGCGGTGAGGGGCAAGTGGTTTGAAGTCAACGACCGTAACCACTTGGACACGGACGCCCCATCTAATTATTGATAACCGAAAGTTATATATATATTTATTATAAATTAAATACCATTGTAAGATTAAATTGAAAGAACTTCCAGTATGATATGTGTACCATTATCAAAGCTGCTCCACCCAGCTTTGTATTTGTTTTGTATTGTTAAGCAAGATTTGAGAATTCGGTAATTATCGGACTCCGAAGTAAATGTTACGGATTTTAAAGTACAGCAGAACGGTACAAATGGTTTATTTATGACATAAAGTTACTAACACAACACATGCCTCTGTGAAGAAGAGTTAAGATTTTTATTTTCAAATTGTAGGTGACCATCTCAATTAAACATTATTTTTTCTGTTTTCTTTTTCATAGTTTTCAAAACTCAAGTATTATGTTTTAAGGCACGCAAATCACATACCGCGCGACTTAACATATTGGAATTATGACAAATTACACAGTTATGCATGTATGTATCAAAGTTATGAAAATAAAGACACCAGAAAGTATACAAATTATTCATCTAATTTTGCATATGATTAAAAAAATAATTAGTTCGAAAAAATATTACAAGGATTTGAACTTGAAACTGCGCGACTGATATGCCATAATACTTACAACTAGGCCATCGGACCGTATGTATGATTTAAATTATCGAGTACTATATGCTATCATTAAAATCAATTGTTTAATTGTAATAATTACGTAAGCTAACGAAATTTTTTTTTATCTGACTCAATATTGCAAAACAATACTTTTACAGTTTTATCGTTTTGATATATATTCCAGCTTTTGACTAAGAAATAACTAAAATATGATGTACATGTACAATAATTTTCTATTCCAAGGACCGTTATGTGCTTTGAATAGTGAAACAATTAATTTCATGTTCAGTAAAAAGTTTTATTTTCAGACATTTGATACATGTTATGCAAGTATTTGTTCAAACACATTTACTGTATAAAGTGAGATAAAAGAACATTTATAAAAAGTATTGAAAAAGGACTCACATTACATATTAAATACATGATTAAATGTACGACAAGTATAGAAAATGCGTTTTATGATAGAAAACAACAACAACAAGAAAAAGAAGAAGAAAAAAAACCACATACACCACACACACAAGCAAGCACACACACGCATGCACGCACGCTCGCACAAAAAGAACACAAAAAAAACAATAAACAATATATGTGTCCTATGAAAAGCAGGGACCAATTTATCGTTTACTACAAACATACACAAAGAATTATGATTACAAAACATATTATTGCAAGGGGTTATGTTACGTTGGTGTTTCTTTAAGAGTGTAACACCCGATTTTTTATGTTTCGGCGCTATATGACGTAATTGTGTTGGTATGCCGCAAAACCAACCAACCAATTAACCAACCAACCAAACAAACAAACAAACAAACAAAACCAACCAAACAAACAAACAAACATGAACACACACTTTATGAAGTTATTTACTTGAATGTAAAACTGTATTGCTCGTAACTGGTACTAAATATAGCAATGCTATTATCACATGACACTTACCAAAAATGTTTCTGACAATCACTACTCTTAACTTTTAACGCACATAAGACTCGTTTAACTTATGCAGCGATAGATTATTTCTCAATGCAACTTTCCCTAACCCTTAACCGGAATAAAATATACTTGTCCGACTAACACGTTTGGAGCTGTTATTGAGGATATGAAGAAAACGTGGTAGTTGGCCAGCAAACAATATATATCTTTATGTGAAAAGCCGTATGTGGCCCCCCGCCCCAAAAAAGTATATACATCATTAAATTGCCAAATAATATGCGGAATTAAATCTTTATTCGAAGTGGTTATCCAGCCTGTTATACAAACTGTAAAATAATTGAAAGCAAGCTATACATCTAAATATACACTAAAATAGTATTATGTATCATACAATATGGATTTTTTTTAATATAAATGTATAAAATATTTTTGATCAAATTGTAAAATAAGTACAACCGGAAAAATACGTTCGTTGAATTGTTTGAAGTTAAGAATTGCTGATTTGATAAACTAATCACCCAGTATATTATTTTATAAAAGAAGATCTGACATAATTTGTGATTTCATTACTCACGAGGGATGCCTGTCTTCCAAAATTGTGATTACACTATCATATTTATATATATTGTTTGTGATATAGATAATATAACATAATGTTTCAATCAAATTTGTTAATAAACGTATCCGTGGTATGATGTAATACATAGAAAGTTTACACATTCAATACGGGGAAATTACATATTTTTCCTTATTTTCATTACAACATTCTTGAGAGAGTATTCTAACCCCCAGCAGTCAACCCAGTTAATACCATGAGTACTAACCCCTTTCAGATAAGGCCCATTTAGATTCGCGCTATGACATGACTTGTACCACCACCATGCTCCAACATTGTGGTGTGCACAGCTCCCTGTATAGTCGTCATTGTCACTATCTTTGGTCGTAAATTGACAATTATTATTATACGACATGGAATCATAACACGAGCCGCGATAACCTGCAACTGTCAATCTGTATTTATCACTCTCGTCATTAATCTTGAAGGTGGAGTATTCAGCAAAAGCAGAAAACGGATTCTTATTGTCATTTGGGAATGTTTCCATGTATATGTATAGAGAACTGTCGTTTCGTGTCAAATGATGAATATTTTCAAGTCCGAGCCAATATTCGCCACTCATGTTCCCAAATCCATTTTTATAATCTTCCCAATTTCTGTAGAAATCTTCCGTTCCGTCTTGCCGGCGTTGTATAACCGTCCATCCACCATTGGTCATATCACACCACACATCAGTAGCAGTACTTCCGGTTGGTTTAATCACATAAATACCGTCCTCGGTATAGCCTTGTTCTAAAAGCTCAAGGCAGTCAACTGGCTCTGGTTGCTTTAAACTGCCCTCCTGTAAAGCAATTAAGTATATTATTTCTAAAACTTTATATAATTATTCTTCCTATAAATCATTACAGAGTGGATTGATTGCATCTTAGAGGTTAACTATGAATGCTTATGAAAAAGACTAAGTAGAGGATATTTAATGAGTGAACACAAATTAAATTAATTTAGAAACGAAGCTACAGGAATAAAATATTCGATTCATCACATACCCAAAATAATAACTGATAAGATGAAAATTAAATAAAAATGTTTCTATAGACGAAATTATAAAGTAGCGCTATCATTTAGCGCGTCTTTACGCGATGTTGTTTAACGATAATGACGTCACGTCAAAACATATACATGTAAGGCCATGCAATACCAATAAGATGGAGCCACAAGAGCGGAACGGGTATATACGAGGGCTGTCCGGAAAGTTCGTAGACAAAGCTATTAAATTATTATAAACAGTCATATCAATATGATGATTGAATATTTTGCTAAAGTATTTATTTGCTACATATTTCTAAATTAAAAGACATGATATTAAAATAAATATCTGTAAAGCACCGATCACTATGGCAACATGATCAACGAATCACGGAGCACTTTGATTTCATAACGATAGCTACTCGAATTATAAATTGCTTAAAGTTGTAATTTTAACGCAAACTCTCCTTTTAATTTTGTGGCATCATAGGATACTATTACATGATATTTAGTGTAAATTATGACGTCATACGTATACAAACAGCTTGTAGAAGACAATTAAAGGCAATGAAGGTGCGTGAATTTTGCGTTGCGAAAATGACGTCCAATTCACGGACGGAGCAACGTAATGATATTTAACTTCATAGCAACGCTAATATGGCACAAACTGAGGTTTAAATCTTTACTTTTCAAAACAAAATCAACCATAAAATGTTAAAGGCAACTTGTGTTTAAATGTCAAACAAGATTAAGAAGCGGTGATGACAGGATATCGTTTAAGAAACGCTCCAGACGACCAAAAGTAGCCTGGCCGAAATATCGTAGATTGCGTTACAATGTTTGAAAAGGCAGACGTCTCACACACTGTATGGGAACCAGTGACATCTTTGATTTTATATGATAATTTTAAATATGAAATTCATGAAGTAATAGCAAAGGAACATTACATTATATTAAGTATACGCCAGACAGATACCATGGCTATTGAAATCGGAATAAATTGAATTCTTGGTAAACATTAAGTTAATTTGAGGCCGTTGACGCTGTCAAAGTGCTCCATGACGATGTATATATGTTGTATGTAAATACTGTTAAAATAATAACGTATGTCACATTTTAATAATTTTTGATAAATGTGTTCGCTAGATATGAATAAAAAATGAAGATGTATATGAACTTTCCGGACATCCCTCGTAATTAACTGGTACAGTTTTACTATTGTTTAGACAGGCAATAGCTACATGTAAAAGTGTTGTTTGTTTACGGAAGAAAACATTTTAAGGTCTGCTTAAATGGATTAATATATTAAAGGACTCCAATTTCTTTGACATAGCAAAACTGAATATTTTTTAAGCCATTAATACCACTTGATGAAGTTTTATACTAATAACTTATTTGGAAAAAATTGCCCAATCCTTATTTCCGTGTATAATTATTTTAGTTTGCAACATGACTTAAAGCTCCACGCCTCCAGGTGAGACAAAATATTTCATGAAAATCCTGAGAAAAATGTACTAAATGTTAAGAAAGGAAAAAACATTCAAGATCCAAGTTATATTTTTCATGTTTTGTGCGGTTTAAAACTGATTTGTAGAACTTTATTACCATATTTCTACTGCGTTACTTAACACAGTAAGGGCTCATTTTGCATATGTTGACGACTTTTTGGTAATTTTCTTTGATTGCAATATGTAAATTACTTTATTTTATTTTATCCATGAAATATGGTGCTATATCAGTCAAATATATTTCATATTTGTAAAAATAAATTTGAAATATAAATATGAAAGTGGGCGGAGTTAAAACTCATATTTATTTTAAGGGACTTCTTTCGCCATTTTGTTTTAATAATCTGATAGATAAAAACAAATTTCTGTTGAATTTTGTTTTGAAATCTAGAATGATAGAAAAAAGTCTAGCTAGTAAGAAAATAAATCCGAACACAAATATATGTAATTGAGTCATTAACGCTGTACAGACGGACGTTTAAACAGTTGTTTACGTGACGTCCCAATGTATCGCCAAACAGCGCGTGAAAATACAGGCAAAACAAGACGCATCTATAAATAATATATTACTGCGCGCTGTACAATTGCTGTTAAGTAGCAAGCAAGAGGATTCGTAACTATTTTTCTTTAATAATGAAATTAAATAAAAATGTTCGTGAAATATGGTATATATTTTGACTCAACATGATCACATGCCGGCTCGTGAAAATATGTGGCATTTTATCATGTTGAGTGAAAATATATGACATATCTCACTCAAATGAAAAAATATCCTCTAATTATTTGTTCACCTAACAATATTTAACGTTTAATTGACATTTTCAAATTTTTTCCTAAATTTTTCTGGAGGCGTGCTGAAAATTAACTACATTACTCATGCTTAAGTTGATCAAGGAATCGCACTCAATATCGATTTTAGTTAAGTTCTAAACAGATTTCTTAATTCCTTGTTTGTTATTTAATACCGAAATTTTTAGAAAGGTTAACAACTTGGCTATTACAGGCATAAGATTTTACTTATCTTCTTAAATATTTCTGTTAATCATTTTTTTTACGTCCTGTTAAAATTGGACAGCGAAGAACTGTAATACATAAGCAGAATTGATCATTGCATAATTCGTTCATATAAACATCTTGGAATCCCATTCTAATTTAAGTAAACTAAATATATTTATTTTTTTCGAATGGTGAACGCGTCTTATGTTTTACTAATCTTAATGAGTTCCGGAAACAAACTATCTTTTGTAGTTACTCAGATTTTAAGTTCTATCATTTACTATTTTTTCATCATATGTATAAGTTCTTTAAATTATGTTTTCCCCCATAAATTATTTACACTACTTTTAAAATATCATCACATACTGAGTACTATAGTTTGTCTTCAATTTATATTTTATATATGTTTGAATATAGATTAAATATATTTATAACACCAAGGTGTTAATTGTTTGTCAATTTTAATTGTTTTTCTAAAGTTTTCAGGTAACAGACTTACGGTTTGTTTCGAATTTAAAAAGTTTATTGATTGTTTCCACCAGTGCTTTAGTATCAAAAAAACTTTCTATTAAAATTTCAATTTGATGAAACTTCAATTGCTTATTTAAAAAAGTAATTCACTTTAAGTGAAAAAACACCCATTCAGAATTAAACATATTGCTAAATAAACTTTGTTTCAAACGTTATACACGATGGTAAAAATGAGTTAAAACGAACATTTTGAGTACGAATAAAATTATAAGGGACAGTGTTACTGAAAAGAAAAACTACAAGTAAAAGCAGATTTATCTCGGCAAATCACCTTTTAAAGAAACACTTCGTGTTTGTCATGACGTAATTTGCGTTATACAGACATAGTGTAAAGATTGCTAAATATTAGCGTTACGGTATAGGCGAATCGTTGTAAAGCAGATTTTTTACTGTACATACTTCTTTCTTTTTGGATTTGTGATAATTAAAATATTGTATTCGTGTAGCTATATTACTTAATTTATTGAAGAATATTACGGTCAATAAATTCAGTATTGAACCTATACTCATTCAATATCATCTATATATAAATACACAATTGTCTTATCATAGGATGACACAGAAAATGTGAATACATTGAATTATATGATTTCTATTTTCTATTGTTTTATTACTGCAACAACTGATCTATGCTAGTTTTACATTAAGGTTGTCTTACTGTTATGCTTTCCCGCCAAAAAAAATTCTAACATCGACCAATATCGTAGTAAATCGGTTTTTTCCGAAACGTTTTTCTTTCAACATGTTTGGCATAAGATTTTTTACAATCCTTTATCGCTATGAGCTAAATTCCGGTTATAAATTAGGTAATACCAAAGATTGTACAAAATGAAATTCCGGAAATGACGATTTCGCCGATGCTAGAATGTTTTGGCGGAAAAACTTTACAGTCAGATAACTTGGAAATAAATTACAGAAATATTTTTTTTAGAAATTGTAACAGAAAATGTAAATACAAATTCATGTTAATAAATTTTAAACTTCATATTTGAAATATATTACATCCATTTACAATTATTTACACACTTCATTAGACATCTTTAAATGAAGTAAAAAGCTGACATCTTCAATTTTATTTTAACAATAAGTACATGTCCCCAGACGAGTTGCAGATTTTCAAAATATACAAAGACATACGAAGAGTTTAAGACATGTTAATTCATATGGGGTTAAAAATATAGCATGCTCAAATTTGATATTTGAAAATACTGATAATTGCTTCGCAGTCTCTTTGTAAATACATTAAATAAACATGTTTTGACATTAGACGAAGTAGATACATGTATATTGTGTTTGAAACACATTATAGATCATCACAATTTAAATAAAGTGTCATTAAAAATGGCAGTTCTTTTTAAAGAAAGAACCCACTTTACTTGACCTGTACTAAGGAACACAGAGTCCGATATATAATTTGTATGTTTTTTTAAAGTAAGGCATATTTGGTAAAAATCTTATAGATTTCAATAAATTTGTGCAAATAAAAGTATTTTTCTCAAGGTTGAGCATAATATATATTTAAGCAAGTTATATAATGTACATAAAATACTTAATTAAGTATTTACATCATAAACATGTTTGCAAGTTATTTGCAGAACGTAAACACATTTGTATATTTTGCATTACTCCGGATAGGTTTTGTCACGAATACACATTGCTTTATGTTATGTCATGTATTTTATGCTTAATGAGGGTCATCTGCCTTTTCAAGGACTAACAGTACGGACCCGGACATAATACAGTTATGTTTTTAAACAAAATTTATTGTTTAAAGTGATGATCTATTTGATTTGATTCACTGAATGGTTCTAAATAATTCAATCAAATTAATGCAAGAGGGTCCATGAGACCAATTTGTACATGATATGATTAATGAATGTGTTGCTGTCTTAACAAACGATCTTATTAAGCGGACGTGCGAGGTTTACTGACCATTGCTATAAGGACAGACTCTTTCAGGTGTTTCGGATAGGTGCCTCAGACATGCGTTTTGGGCAGACACGTTCACTCCGTCCAGTTTTTAAGGCCGACCAAATGACCACAAACCGGTACCATCAGAAAGTGGATGCCATGGACTGGCTCTTTCAGTGCCATTTATTTGTCTATTATCAGAATATTTTTAAAATGAATATTATATAGATTTAAACAAACATTAATCATAATAAACCAATAATTCTTACTTGAGTATACGTTGTTGACACCGTTTCTGTTCTTTTCCCATGGATAATTTCATTGTCAGTCTGCCCCTCCTCACCAGTGTTATTGTCATGACCGGAACAGCAGAAACATGTTGCATTATTTTCAAAATAGTAAAACGATGGCAATTCTAATTTCTGACAATTAAAACTGCATGAAATCACTGAACTTGCTTGTATTAAAAAAAGTGAAGGGTCATTTTTGGGAAACTGAAAAACTTTCTCTATCTCGAAAAAAGATGACGCAAATTCATTTCCTAAGCTTTGAGCTGTTCCAAAAGAGTGGATAATTACCAAAATAAGCAACATTGCATTAAAGGAAAATAATCCGTATACAAAAAAATGCAATTATATTTTAAGTTGTTGAAGCTATTGAAAATATATACGACTGCACCAGTACTCTGGTTGTTACCAGTCATTTATAGAAATGAAAGAGCAAACATTTAATATATTATTTAATGAATTCCAAACACCTGGTTGCTATGGGTCCTATTTGACTAGAATATTGACTTAGACGAATGGCATGACAAAACATACGGGGAATGATTCAAAATAACTTAGGTTTTTTTTATTGACAATCACAAAAAATAGCGATGATAAACTTATTACAATAATCATATTCTGTAGCAGGAGAAACAATATTTATTAACAGCTAGCAGCGGTTTTCTTATTCCAGGGTCATAACTCAGCCAAAAAATTGATTCAACCGACACGCGAGTTACATATGCGCAAATATTTGTGGTCAAGTCTGTAAATATTCACTCAAATTGCATTAGTAGTATAAGAGAGGGTGATCCGGACAAAAATAATAAAGTAATTAAAGGCTCATTGCACCAGTAGTTTTATGCGTAATTCGACGGACGAACAAGTAGACTGACAGATTGACAGATAGATAGATGATGGAGAAATATATAAAATATATCACTTTCTTTCGTAGTTCTGTAAAGACTTTCCTCGGCTAGGATTACATTTCTAAAATGGCGATAGGGAATATGTATCTTTTTACATTAAGACTCTACTCGAGGCACTTTGATACTTGTATCTAAGCCAAAATGTGCTTAAGGTATTAGGACCCTAATGGGCACTATCAGGAACTAAATAATTGACATCATAAGTCAGATGTATACCTTAAAGTACACCTGTATGCAAAATTTAAACAAAGTTTACCGTACAGAAATCAAGTTATGGCCACTTTTTCTGAACTCAAGCTAGGATGTTATGAGGGCCCTTTTTAGAAATGAGGAACCTTTAAATAATCTGCAAAAACATTCTAATGAAAAATGTTTTCTCATGAATTTTTGGTAAGAAACAAAAAAGTACCATTTTCAGCTAAACAATCCACATAAGCAAAATTATGGTTTCTACTTAAAATTTATGAAATCTGTATAAAAAAATGTTACCCTACCCCACTCATTTTTACCACATGTCTGACCATTTTTCTACTTAGGGAGCCTAATTCAAAAAATTCTTAAAATTTACCCAAATGAGTGCCTGTTTTCAAAGTTTCCCTAAATTTTTAAAAAAGTATATTGGTTGATCTTGTAAAATATGAAATACTTTTACCGTCTAGTTTTGATTATATTACACTTTGAAAATATCAGGTACCATATTTATTACTAGATTGAGCATAATTTAGCCAATAAATACCTATATAAATTAAAAATTCAATATTTAACACATTTTTCTTTCCATATGGGACATGAGAGATACATAAATAATGTTAAAAGAAAAAAAGAAAGAAAAAAAAGTTGACCCTTATGGGGATTGAACCCATGGCCCTCATTTTCAATGTAGTTAACAGTAATTCTAGCCTATTTGAATACTCTTCAAAGCGGAGGTAATGCATTAGGGTGCTAATACCTTAATTGTATTGAATGGGTTGATATTTACATAAAAACAGCTCTAAATTAAAACCCAAAATACCCTTTAAAATCCCATCGTGAAACGGATGTTTATAAGAGGGTGTTTCATAATCTGATTAAATTGAAATGTTTCATGCAAATACTTGTTCTGTTGACATAATTTGTTTCAATTTTCTCACAACTTGTTTTGCAATACAAACGAGCTTTTCGACTTCAGATTCAAATGTAATTTTTAAATTAAGACTCTACTCGAGGCACTTTTATGTTAATAAATTTTCATTTAAATCCCTGTCACACTAGAACGACGTTCTCATGGCGTTCAAAGAAAATTCAGAACGCCGAAGTGAGACCAGTAAGATCGCAAATATCGCTGCAGCTTCGCCGTAGCATCGTAGTCGCATCGCATAAAACGCCGACTGACGGCGCACATTTTGAACTGCGCAGTGGGATCGCAGTAAGAATCTCAGAAGCATATCATACAACGCAACAGGAGTGCCGTGAAAGCGCAAAAGATCACCGAATGAAAGCTGTGGTTTTCCACAGCGCTTGTACGGAGATTGTGCGGCGTCTTTACCGCGCTTATAATGCGTTTGCACGCCCTTTATATCGAGCTTTACGATTTCGGCGCAGTGTGAGCGTCGCGAGAGCGTCATGTGAGAGCCGTAAAAGCACAGCTGAAGCGCAAAAAATTCAGTAGAAGCGCGGTCCAAACGTAGACAATCGCCAATTAAAAAGCCGTGGAAGCTCCGTAGCATCGCCATGATTGCCTAGAGGACGCCGTGAAGACGCCGTGAAGGCTCTATGTCATCAAAAATATCACATTTTTTTATTGCAATCTCGCGGCGCTTTGTTAAATTTAAAAACGCCATGCAAACGCAGTAAAGTGCAGTCTAGTGTGACAGGGCCTTTATTATGTGGTAGATAAAAAATATGACTAATCTTTTTCTTTCGTTTTACAAAACACTGACAGTTCATTGCAAAATATATGTTGAAATAGTTTCAGCTCATCTTTATCATCATCATTTTTTCAAGTTCTGAAATAAATTTATTGCACAACATTACAGTAATTTGTACTGAATTTTCAGATACTTCATAATTATTAAAATTCCAAATGTCGTGTTTCACGGACGGCAAAATTAGTTTCGTTAAACATGTTAATGTTTGATTATATTTTTCAATTACCATTGCATACACGAAATATTGAACATTGTTCAATATACATCATATGTAAATTTTAAATTTTAATTTAAAACCAAGTTGTTCTTTTTTAATCGTGGCACTTTATAATGAGTTAAATGTAAGTCATGTTCATAATTATAATATAAAAAGTCAGTATTATACAATCTAAAATCAAATGTGCACATATCGTAAAATAAATATAATTATTTCACTCTTCATAAATAAACAAACTGTGTGCACTTTCAGAAATTGCACCACGTGATGTTACAATTATTGGGTCAAACATTTAACTCGTTTTAATTTCTAGAGCCCCAAAAGGTCCATATCAAATTCATATCACACCCATTATAGCTTCATTTTCTATTTTTAGATTTCCAAACATTAAATGCTAGTCATACGCCATCTAGTTTCGCTTCAATTTTAAAAATTTAAATTCCAAAAATCCATATCAAATCCTTATGAAATTGGAGTAATAAACTTTTATCAACATGTCAACAAATGGTAATGTGAGATATCGAGGCCATTAAACTGACAGCAATAATGTTGGACTCGTACAAAGCTGCCAAAATTATTTCAGAATCGGCTAGCGCGTCGGCCAATACAGTGTTGACAGCTGTTTACTCGTCTAATATAATTGAGTGTTGGATACGTATAATAACCTCATATTATTTTATAACAAATGAATATATACATTCACTCGGCATTTTCTTCTAGATCGATATGGTTTTATATTCAAACGTCGCTTCATGCTTAACATTTTGTAGTGCACCTATGAGATTAACGTCTATAGTTAATCTAAGTTCAAAGCAAATCTCCAATTTAGAAGCAACCATCGTACCTGTACTGTCGATGGAATCTGAAATTATACTGAAATCACTTGAGAGAAAGCGGGGAATGGATTCAGAAATAACTGAAATTATGACGATTCAGTTCGATTGAGTAGATCAATCATTTGAATAGATATTGCATCTCTTCAATGTGCCACTTCTCCACTGTTTATTGATATAAGAATTGAAAACAATTACACTGAATGACGACCACAAAACAAGATAAAAACTGAGAGAAAGAGAATAATTGAACAAATACGTGAATAAATGGTATAGGTCCAATCGAGTAGAAACATCAGTGATGATCAGTCAAAACTGACCAAAACAGAAGCTAACCCGTTACTGATCTAAAGTGACTAAATATCTGCAATTTTCGGTCTCAGAACAAAACTTATTCAAGACATTTAAGGCGCAGGACTACATAACGCTGTAAACACTAATGATATAAAAGAAATGCAGTTTAACTTATCCATTAATATATCATCTCGCCAACTGAATGTTGTTTTGAAATGAAAATCCGATTTTTCTTCTTGTTTTATAGAAATCTATATTTTATATAAAATCTTCTGCAATTCAGGCATAATCTGATCCGGGATAAACATTGTCTTTTTCAAACGTTTCCATTTCTATATAAAAGTCACTACTTATTGTCGTTAACATTTTAATGTACTTAAGACCAAGCCAGTCCTCGCCTTTTGTGTTCCCGAATCCATCTATCCCGTTGGTCCGTCTTTGCGTAGCTGTATAACTGTCCATCCAGCATTGGACATGTCAATCCACACGTCAATATTTACACCTTCAGACGGTTGAATAACATACACACCGTCTTCAGCATAGCCCATATCGTTAAGGGATAAGCAGTCAAAGACACCTGATTGACGATGTATTCTCTTGTATAATTCATTTGAGCTCTGTAAACGAAAACATTATCAGCTGATGTTGGAAATGATTTGTTTGTTTGTTTCATTTTACGCCTTTTCCCAACATTATTTCAGTAATATAGGCGGGTAGTTTCCTAACAATCGTTCCTGGAGAGTTACACCAGTACTAAACTACCTTGCTAAACAACCAAAGCATCTCCCGCAAAATGATTTGAAAATTTCCGTAATATTTAGTATTAAAATTACTTCGGCTTACAATGAAAAGGCAAACCTTTTTGTTTTACTTTACTCAGACGTAAAATGGCAAGGCTTATAATCTGTATAAGGCTTATAATCTGAATAAGATGTTTTAAACGACTGGATTTTATAAAATAGAGAAAATAAGACTCCCTAATGAAAGCCCAGCAAATCCTCTATTGGCATCAGCATTCACATGACCTTCAGTATTTTCATGTTCCATGTTACATAGACACGTTTGATTGTTCTCAATGTAGAAAAATGCACCGTATTTCCGTCTTGAACAATGATATTCACATGTAGAAAAGGACATCCCTTGCGGCATAGTGACAAGTTTA